AAGTTACAATATCTTCATGGCTCGAAATGTGCTTGTCATGCCGACTGTTATCATTAGAAGGAAATGAAGAGGGAGATTGGGATAAAGGGGGGAGGGATAGAGACAGACGAAAGAACCATGTAGGTATTTGCATGCTCATATCACCTTAAATTTGTTCCTTTCCTCTCCTCCTTTCTCTCATTTAAGAACACTTTATTTATACATTACATCACCGTGAGTAGGCGTTAGTATTCCTATCCAGGAACGGAGGGAAGCACATTTTTATTTTTTAAGAGTCCAAGAAAGATTTGAGGTATACGTCTTTTCCTTGTTAATTTTTCGGACGTTCAATTATATTTCTTGGATTTACAATTCCATTTTATATCAACTGTATTATTAATCTCATTTTCTCGAAGTTCTCATCCACCCCAGCATCACCTTGAGGCATAGGATCAGGAAATCTGAGATAAAAGTAAAGCGAAATTTCAACTTGGCATAGCTGCCTCCTACACTAGCTCTCTTTGGGTTCCCCGTAAATTTACGGAAAAACGGTTGATACAATCTGACAGGGCAAAGGGTGGGAATTAATCTCATGCTTCCAGTGGTTATGTTTAATGCAAGAGTTGAACCACCATTTTGTTTCCCTCGATAATACGTAATACTTACCTGCTCTCATCGGAGCGCAGCGCAGCTATCACGCGTTTAGAATGAACGCGGGATAAATCAATGGTGGACCGCGAGTGAGTAGGTGAGGGGGGGGGGCTATTTGCTGATGTTGAGTAAACATCCCCCAAAAGTAGGGTTCGGGAGGTCTCATCTGGAATTTTTTTTTAAAAAAATAGGCCCACCAAGATTTAATTTTTAGCAGTTTTAGCATGCAATTTGTGCATCATTTGAAAGTTGAAAATTGACGAATAATACTTCTCTCAGGGTAATTTTATTTTAGTAAGGACTAGGTATTTATTTCTGCGGTGTTTAGTAACCTTTGGTTCGGTATACTTTGGTGCTATAGTTTTGTCTTAAGACCATTTTAGTTTTTTGAGAGCATTTTCCCCTTTCTATTTACCCTTGTTTTCCTTTTTCGGCCNGGGGGGGGGGGGGGGGGCATGACACCATGCCCCCTCCCCTGGATCCGCCACTGGAATGGACTGAAGTTTTTATGTGCTAAACTACTTGTTAAGCTGATTATTTCTTCTGTTAATTAAACACATTTTAAACATTACAGCCTGTTGAGTTTTTTCTTAATACTATTTTTTCAGCTATGCAGTAGCACAGCTTGTTATTTGTAATTACTTGCGATTACAAATTGAATCGTGTCGTGCGAGAACCGCGTATGTCATTTTTCTCTAACTTTTATAAAATCGAAAAAACTGTGTGTACACTTTAAAGTAGTGGATTAAAAAATGTCCGAAAGTTAATTATGACAGAAGATGTCGCATGTCATGCTGGCTGAGGCCGTTATTATGGATAATATTCTAAGTAATTTAAATGCCACCCGCTCCGCTCTACCGTTCTCAGGAAGAATGCCGTATGAGCGACCGGACATTGCTGAGATTTCGCTGGTAAATCCAGAATTTCTTCAAAGTTGAAATTTTATTTTCCTTGATCCTTACACAGAATTTTATCCGCCATTTGCCTTGGATGCGTTTGAAAATTCCGAGGAAAAATATACGTGTTTTTTTCCGAAAATAAAAATTTTGTCGAAAGGCGCTTGACAACATTCCAGTCCTTGTGTGGCTTTTTTCCTAAGCCCAACGGTCATGGTGAAAGAACCGGTATACGATGACTGGGGCTGGTTCACACGAGCCTCAGATGTGCGTCTGCGAATTAATCTTAAAAAGCATCAGACATGAACCTGAAAGAAAAAGAATAGCTCGAGTATCAACACAGCGAAAGACACGAGAGACGTTTTCGGGCCTCCTTCTCAACTTTTTCCCCGAATCTGAGCGACGCGACACCTCATTGGCAGCTCGAGCTCATACATTTAGCGGAGCATTGCGAGTCTCTGCCATCACGCCTTCAATTTTGCGGATGCAGCACGGACGTCCATCAAGCTCGAATAGTTGTATCTCTGCCCCGTCGTCGACGCGCATCTTCTTCTCTGTTCTACTTCCATATCGTGTTGGTTTCGTTTGTCTCATTTGTAGTGGTGCTTCAAGAGCTACGTGAGTAACACAGCCGAGCAAAGGAAAGATGTAACTGGCCTCATTCTTTACTTTTCTCCCGAATCAATCGAATTAATCCCTAATAACTCGAGGTGCTGCGGAGCATGTACACGCCTCGCACCATCGCGCCTTCAATTTTGCAGATGCAGCACGGACGTCAATCAAGCTCGAATAGTTGTATCTCTGCCCCGTCGTCGACGCGCATCTTCTCCTCTGTTCTACTTCCATATCGTGTTGGTTTCGTTTGTCTCATTTGTAGTGGTGCTTCAAGAGCTACGTGAGTAACACAGCCGAGGAAAGGAAAGATGTAACTGGCCTTATTCTTTACTTTTCTCCCGAATCAATCGAATTAATCCCAAATAACTCGAGGTGCTGCGGAGCAGGTGTACCTACACGCCTCGCGCCTTCAATTTTGCAGATGCAGCACGGACGTCCATCAAGCTCGAATAGTTGTATCACTGCGCCGTCGTCAACGCGTATCCTCTCCTGTTCTATTTCCATATCTGCCGTGATAAGGAAAAACGCCGTATGAACATTCGAGAGTTGTCAAATTTCCTTCGATAAAGTGTTTATTTATGAGGAAAGTTATTAATATTTTAACTTGAAGTTTTCAGAATATTGAAGTAGATTTGCGAACTAAGGTTACTCTAAAACTGGAAGAAAAATATGCATGAGCTTACCGAGAAGTCGGTATTTGATCAAAGGGAATTTGGCAACGCCTGAAGGCTCATACGGCGTTCTTCCGTATCACGGCAGATAGTGTTTGTTGGCCTGATTTGCGACTTTTCGTGTAAAATAAAGTCTAGGGCATCTGAGGGTTATACAGGTTAATCCTTTCAAAAATGTATCAATTTTGAGAGGGACAACAAAATTACAGCGATCTCCCGGACAGGTGTGTGTAATCATGTCTCAACATCAAGTAAGCACTGAAAAAATTAAGAGAAACGATGTCAAAGTCGTCCATGAACTCATAATTTTAGTTTCAAAAAATCCAAATTTCCTATTTGAAAGGCAAGAACAGAAATTCCAAAAGAATCAAAATAATAGGTTGGAACATACTCTCCTAACATTGAATTAGAAATGTTATCATGCAATATTTAAGCGAGGAAAACTCACCCTACTGCTGAAACAAATGTGTGATTCTTGTTTGCTTCTTTGGTGTTCCGTAATCTTTCGTCTTTTTTTAAAAAAAATTTTAGCTACATTTTGCATTTTTTTACTTTGCCACATTTGGCTGTTGCCACGCCTCTCAGAGGAAGCCAATGTCGGCGCGGCGCACAGTGGATCGAGTCAATCAGAGAGGTCGGACATGAAATTTTAAACTATAACTGTAAATTTTCGTGTGCAATTTGTTAAATGTTGAATTTTAAAGGGTGCCTCCCAAAGAAAATTTTACGAGGAATCCAATGGGACCACTTTCAAAGCCTCAAAGTTTTGTATGAACGGAGTTATAAGCTTTTAAAGTTTCCAAATTTTGTCCGACCTCTCCCATTGACTCGATCTACTGTGCGGCGCTGCGTCTCCAACCCGCTGGATAAGCAAAGTCCTGGATAACCGAGAGCCAGATAATCGAATGGTTACCATAACATAAGGAATAAATGAATGATAATATGAATTTACTAGATGGCTGCAAATGAGAGGAAATAAAAGTATTCTGATTAGCAAACGAAAAAAATGGAAACAATCTGATGGAGACAAGGAAAGTTACAATTTTGGGATCGGACCTTAAGGATTCCTTTTTTTCATATCATAAATGACAAATCCTATCCCTTTCACTTATGATTACAGCTGTATCTTGATACAAAGTTTCTGAAAATAACATTTTCCCAAAAACATCCTCCATTTTTTCAAGTTGTGGCCTGTCTTTTTTTGTTACTGTTCCTCAAAAAAAAGTTTTTTTTTTAAAACGATGTTTTGCTTTTGATTCCTCTCCGAAAGAAAAAAAAAAATCAATAACTTATAGACCATGAATAAAATGTTTATTTTCACACCTTCGAAAAGAGAAATAACAACAAGTCACATATTTTGCAAATAGTGAGTGGTTTAAAAACACTATACAAATACTTACAAGTTTATATACGGACAAGGATTTACAAATACTTTATAAAATTAGCCTGTTTGAAGGCGGCCAATTCAACCTAGAAAGTATTGAAAAACACAAGTCCTAATGCTCCAGATTCAAGAGGCTCCCACTGATGAGCTGGTTACCACAGAATCATGATCAACTTATTTGATACGGATTAAAGGGCCTGCATGTTTCTGAGTCACAGAGGAAATTTATTTTAAAGATGAAAAAGGTTTATGAATAATTATACAAGGAATGTAAGACAAATTTGAGAGACCTTCATAAAACTTGTTCCTTAAAACCCTTAAAATTATTCATAAAACATCATTCAATTGATTTGCATTGTTTTGTTCAAATTATAATTTTGTAAAATGTGTGTGGGTATGAATAAAATTCCAATCCAAGCTGGACAACATTGGTCGAAACAAACTACTGGTATCAATAAACCATCTGAGAGGGTTGAGTCCTGCACGGAAAAAAAAAAGAATTGCTGATTCAGCAATTCAATTGCTAAAAACAGTGAGTGCAATGTTTCAACGCAGATTTTACAACAAAAAAATGCTACTTTAACCACATTGTAAACTAATTTAACCACGGGGGTGGTTAAAGTAGCATTTTTTTGTTGTAAAATCTGCGTTAAAACATTGCACTCACTGTTTTTAGCAATTGAATTGCTGAATCAGCAATTCTTTTTTTTTTCCGTGTATTCTGAAAAATATTATTGATTAATTCTTAAGATTGTAAAGAATTGCTGATAATTATGATTACTACCAGGAAATATATTTTTTCCCCGGAAAATACATTGAAAAGATGGTGTCATAACCACAAATGAAAAATTTATCTGCAACTCTTGTCTTGAGTGCTCTATGTAGCTTAAAAAGAATACAATCATAAGCCTAAAATTAACTGGTTCCTGTTGCAAATAGAATCAAATGATTTAGGAATATATTTTCCAAAGTTTTACAGAAAACTCCTGCTAAACAGTTCGAGTTTCATTCAATTTTAATAATTGGCAATTCTTTCTTAGAAGTAAATAAAAAATTGATGAGAAAAATGAGTTTTCATAATACAAGCAGTAAACAATCTAACCCCAGAACCCCAACCAGTTGAAAATTAATACACAAAATTCAGTTCGGTAATATTTTTGGAAAAATATTTCCTTTCCTTAAAAGTTATGAATGATTTTGCTAACCACTGTCACAAACATACTTAAACTTAATGATAAAATTCGGTTATTTTCTGCTGAGCACTATTCAAATTATTTGATAAGCTGATGATGTTACTGAATTTCAGACTGGTTTTATTTTATCTTGCCTAGAAATACAAAATTTCAACAATCAGGCCAGAGAAGTTGTTTCGGGTATTAGACAGGATGAAAATTTACCTATTTGTTTAGAACAAACCGATTCAGTGTCGAAAAATGGCTGTATGAAAAGCGAGCTGTAACAATAAGGACATAAATCCATGATTACCTTACTAGTGTCACTTTCTGAGGACTTTTTAAAAATTCCACCTTGTAATAGGCAATTAAAAAAATATTTTGACAAAAAAAAAATGTAACAATGTAATTCAGTAACAATCAAGGGTTGGATTCTCTGCATTATTGAACCCTGGTAACAAAATATCATTCAACAGCGATTCAAGATTATTCTGGGACTGTTTGAAAAACAAAATTTTAGCTTCTACCACCTCAGCAGCATTTATTTTTGTAAACAGGTCAACCAACTCAGATTCTGTCAAAGTAGACGTATCACTATTGAGAGATATAACTTGATCAGGCTTCCAGTTACCAAGGTTTTTGTAAACACCTGCTAAGAGATTAATGTCTTTGGAGCCAACAATCGAATCAATTACTTCATCAGAAAGACAGGCTGCTTTTGCATCTTGACCATTAGAATTCTGCTGTTCGTGAGTGAATTTTGGGCCAAGGGCATCTGAATTGGGAGATTGAAACTTTCCTGCAGAAGGGGTACATGACAAAGCATGACATAAATCAAGCCTCTGCTCCATGTTCGAAGAGAGATACCTATTTAAGTGACTTGATAGCTCGTCTAAAATTACTGCAGCTCTTTTGCATACTTCTAAGTCAGCTTCATTGTAAAGACAGTTTATTAATACTCGAAAACAACCCAAATTATTAAGTTGAGTTAGTTGTTTAACAAAAAAAGATCTGATCTCTGCATTGGGCATTGAAGCTGAGACCTCGAGGTGATGCATCATAACCGCTTGCCAAAAAATCAGTGTGTTGATACACACTTCCCAATGCAGGTCTTTAGTGCAAACTGATGAAAGAGTGGAGAATACTTCACCTTCTAAATTCACTGGAAAACCACCATTTTTATAAATTTCAGTAAAGAGCAACGGAAATTGCCTCCGAACGATGGCCTCATCTTCTGATATGATTGCATCCAGAAGTTTTCTTACTACGCTGTTTTGATTCATCTGTGACCACAAGCCATCCACTGTTACAAGATTACACAAGCAGGCAATGGCTGAGGCGCGCACATAATATTCGGAGTCTGATAGGAAAATATCGAGGACATCTTCTGCTAACTGCAAGCTGATGACTGAATTAGAAGCTGATTTTTTTACCAGCTCAGCATAGCTAGAAAGAACTTCTAGAGTTGAATCTCTCACTTCCCATGAGTTACTGTACAGATACTTTAGCAAAACACTTTCAAGATTAGGTTGAAGAGGCTTGCTAATAACGTGCTCATCTCCTTTTTTTGGCAGAGATTTTAAAATATGACAAACTACACTTAAGGCAGGGGCAGTGCACGAGTTAGGAGGTAAACCAGGTATTGAGAGGAACATAACCATATCAGATAGTAACTTGCGAAATTGTTCATAATCTAAAAAATCTCCTAACCTGATGATGGAATTTTTTAATTGAAGTAACAAAGTGGATGTTAGTCGACTTTCGGTAAAATTGGAGAATGGTATGATTGACGAATCTGTATCTTTAGGGACAAAATACTGATGGAATAAAGTGGTGAGTACATTGAACACAAGCATTTTGTATGGTAACAAGGCACAATCAAACTCTGATTCAAGGGCAATCATGCTAGATATTGCTACTGATTCTAAATTTGAGTGCGCAGTGAGTGTCTGTTTGAACAGAGTGATAAAATTACGAAGACTTCCTTCAGAAAAATTATTTAAAAACTTAGAGTACAGAAAACTATAATCTTCTGCCATCTTTTCACTTTCAGGACTGTGTTGTTGTAATAGAACATGAACAGGAGTCAGTCTAATGGCTAATAAACTTTCTAATAGTCCAGACTCCATCATTTTTGTGTTTACTTTACAGTATTTTGCAGCCAACTCACACATCAGAGTAACTTCTCGCAAGGAATCTCGCTCAAGAAATCGTATCAAAATTTTAGCAAGGAATTCTTCAAAATTGCTGCTGTGGTCATGTTCAAGTGCTGTACTTTCCTTTTGTTTGAAATTTAAAACCTCATTTATAACCAATAGTTTGCCAATTTTTATGAGAGTTTCATTACTTTGTGTTGTTTGAAAATCAGACCACAAATTTTCATAAAAACTAGTTCTTACAGTGAAATACTTTTTTGCAACTCCAAACTCTTGTTGCATTAAAAAACTCTCTAGCACTGAAATTAGTAAATTTAAGATTTGATTGTACTTTTTGTATTCATTTTTAAGGGAGAATACAGAGCCACTCAGGCGATACTTTTCGTAAGACTCAAAAATCTGAGATACAATCTTCAAAAAATCATCTTCACTCCTTCTGCAGGATTTGGCACAAATAGCAACCAAAAACTCTCTGCTTTCTTTCTTCACATACAAACTTTCATCTGTGATGTACATTGACAAGACCGTTTTCCACAACTCGTTTTGAACTACGTAGTCTAAGCCTTTTTCATGAGATATGAGGCTGGTCAGTAATTTGGAATAAGCAATAGGAAAAAGAGGATTTGTTTTCAGTTTTTTTTCAATCAACTCTTGATACTGTTCTAAAATAAGCTTTTCATCATTCAAGAGATCAAAGTACATTGGGTTTGAACACAAAGTTCTAAGAACATGAATAGAAAAAACTGCAACTGTAGGTTTTAGGGTTCCGCTCTTCCAATGACTAACGCATGCAATTAACCAATCCTTGTAAATGGTTTCATACAGGTTGGGTGCATACTCAAGGGGAAATTCCTCCAGAAATGAAGCAAGTTTCGACAAAATTGAATCATCAGTCACATCATAGTTCATGTCTAATAATTTAAAGAGACTTAAGCTTAACTTTTCGCTGACCGAGTACTGTTTTGATTCTTTTTCTACATTCATAGTGCTAGACTCCATCTTGTTGATAGTTCTGGAGTAAGGATCACAAATTAAGAACTGGCAGAGCTGAGCCTACAACTTGATTCTCTCTTCCTTGCAAGGTGATAACAGGTTGATGGAAAACAGGCTTTGTGTGAGAGGAAACAGGCATGCACTTATTAATTATCAATACACATTAAATTGTCTACTTTGCTTCCACTTTCGTAACCTGATATTATCTGGTCAATAGCTGATAAATCACGATGACGGGCAGTGAAGTCGGCTGCTGCTGTCCAGGACATGTCATGTTCTAAATAATAGGCACCAAGAAATTCATGTGGCATTGAGCTGCTCCATTCCTGAAACAAGTATCAGTAAATTAGCACTGATCTGAAATGGAAAAAAGACCACATCAGATAATGGAGGAATAGAAGTTTTATCCTGAATTATGTAGGGTTCTATAACTCCTTCATATTCAAATGGACTTCTATAACCTGAGTCCAAGATTAGAGAATTACTTACTTTTCGCGACGTTCAAACAAAACTTCTGCTTAGACTTTCTTCTTCAAGTTGCACTGATATTCAGTAAAACTGACTTGACTTAACTTTGCACAAAATTTCGACTATCAGACATTAGAATGATGGAAAAAGGCACTCTGAAGCATTGTCTACAAGAATGAAGAGGCTGTAGAGGTGTCATCAGATAAGTTGACCATTGTTAACTTTTGGCAAGCAAGCGCACACAATGAATTTAGACCTCTATACAAAGCGGCGTTCGCTACTATCTACCTTGAAAACATCCATCTCATGATTGTATCGTAAAAAAACTACTTATCAGTAATGATTACTGTGTGGCCAAAAATTAAAAGGTTACAAGGTTTGAAAGTATTAAAAGACTTATCTAAGCTTGTGTTCTTGCTTATGCGAGAGTTGGATGTTTTCATGCGGATAGTGGTGATGCGAAAACGCTTGCAAATCGAAAGTAAACAATGGTCAACCTACCTGAAGACACCTCTTGACTACTTTATTATAACATCATGCTGGTGGATGAAATTTGGCCGATGCTTAACATGTGTTCCTGTGAGAAAACACATGAAGAGTCTTCCTTTTGTGCTGATATCTTTCCAGGGGTTGATACAATACAAAACTTTAAAGAATCCTTTTTGAAAGAGGATGCAACTTCACTTCGGAATACTGACTCCTCCATGAATGACGTTGTGTTATAATTGGGAAAAAGAAGGCTACATACCAAAAATCGTTATTTTACTAAGATTCTAACAAACCACTTGTGCAGCTTTGGCCAGAGTCGGACTGGCGTAAAAAAAGTTAGGCAGCCACTAGGATTTTGGGGCCCCTGACGTAAAAACTGGGCCCCTATGGGGGGTCTGGGGGGTCGCCCCCCAGGGATGGAGGGGGGTCCGGGGGTTCTCCCCCGGAAAATTTTGAAAATTTAACCCCTGAAAATAGAAGTTTTAGGCTCTTTTCGCATTGAAATTTAATAAATAGCGCCTCCGAAAATGTCACCAATTTTTTAGATATTTTTTGAAAAATTCGGCGATTCCTCTTGTTGATAAAGAAGCACATAACCTCCTCAAACTTTACGCAGGGGCCTCTGCTGGTATCTTTTCAAAGGCCCCGCCCCTGAAGTTACCTTCTCCCGGCTGCAGGGCCAGTAGGGGCGCCTCCAAAAAGAAGTCATCTTAAAGTGAGTAACCTTCAAAGACCGGAAAAAAGAGCTTTCGAGACCTGGAAGGGCCCCTGAAAGTGAAACTCTTTTTTTCGAGCCCAGGGTCAGGGGCCCCTGCTGACATATTTTCAAGGGCCCCAGAAGTGACCTTCTTCGGGCTATAGGGGTCTCAGAGAAAGAGTCATGCTGTTTAAAGTAAAAAACCCTTAGAGGCCGGGAAAATATAGCTTCGAGGGCCGCTCCAGGGCCCTTGAAGCTCATATTTTTCGATCGCTGAGGGGCCCTTTCAGGGGCCCCTGAGGTTACCTTTTTCCGGCCGTAGGGGCCTCAGAGAAGGTGTTATGAGTTAAACCCTCAAGGACTGAAAAAAACGAGGGTTTTTCAAGGATTCATTTCATTTATTGAAGAATAAATTCAAGGATTTTTTTCAAGGATTTTTCACTTTTTCATGGATTCATTTCATTTATTGAAGAATAAATTCAGGAATTGTCGGCTCAGGGGCCCTGTCGGGGCCCCTGAGCCGACAATTCTTAGGCAGCGATCGCTGCCTAGCTGCCTTAGCCAGTCCGGCCCTGGCTTTGGCCGATTGAAGGCTACTTTGAATGATTTATATGGAGACTGCTTCATTCATGGATGCTCTGATGACCTGAAGATGACTGCTCTTTAGTTAAGGTGAATCCAGGCTTGGAACTTCGCGATTTGGCCACCACGTCGCGCTCCTCAGAATAGTCGTATATATTTGCCAAAATAATAAAAACCGTAATACTTATTCAAGATTGGGGATCCAGGGGATATAGCAACATTCTTGGGGAACATTCAGTAAAAAAATCTTCCCAAAATTCCCAAAAATAAAGTCGTAACTACGGCGGAAAGTGATTCCCATTGCAGCAATGGGAGAGAGAGAGACAGAACACGAGAGATTCGGTTGCGCGCTTGGCCGCCGCGGCTGAGCTGAAAGTTTCAGCCGTACTTTCTCTGTGCTTGTAATCCTAATTGCCAATATTTTTGGCTCAAAAAATTAAGCAAAAAATAATCTATATCTTGTGGATCTGCTTTTTGTAATTTGAACAATATTATTTCAGTAATCGTTGAAGGAAAGTGAAATTCTCAGTGGTGACTGGTGGCGCTATCTCTTATCTTGAATTATCCCTATCAAACCCTGGATTCACCTTAAGTATCCACTAGTCTGACATCACGAAACAGAGTAATTATGGTCCCTCCAATCTCATAGGTAATATCTGAGGTTGTTTGCACTCTTTAGAATGGCATTGGCAGAAGTTTCTAGGCCCATATGATACTTTTAAAATTTTCTGACTTACCCAAGTTACTGTATACTCCCTGTCGTTCTCAGACTAACAGAAACCCTATTTTAATTACTTGAGTTCTGAGAGGGGCTTTTTTTCTTTTTTTTTTCCTTGACTCATTTGTCTGCATCTCTCATGTGTAACTGTCCCAGCCTTGCGCCCAACAGTCCCGCGCCCTTTGGACAACAGCTTACAACTGCTGACAAATTTTTACTAGATTTTATGTGATAACTTATAGGAAATGACAATGAATTAAGAACTCATAAAAGATGTTGTAGATATTTGATGTTGATGTTGAGGAAACGTTAATAAGAAAAAAAAAAAAAAAAAAAAAAAAAAAAGGAAAGAAAAAAAAAATTAAAATAGTAGTTTACCTCTGGAGATAACATGGAAAAATATTCTTGTCCCGAGGGTCTCCTGTACAAGAAGTATAGATGGCCGGGCTTCTTTTGGAAATTGCATGCAGCTCTATGAAGGTTTGCGTTGTTTTGTGCGTCTTTTAAGATTGATTCCGCCTGAGATTTTAAAAACCTGACTTGATCTACAATGACTTGAAGTTTGCCTGTTGTTGTGGATCGCACGTACGAATCAGCCTGAGTGAGAAATAACGTTACAGAATATGAATAACATCATTCATATTGAAAGAAACTTTAAATTGAAAAAAAAAAAAAAATTCTTCAGAGCGTTATTTAAATATTAAGTAACAAAGTATTTACAGGTGCTGTAAAATCCTCTCAATTGAGATGCAACTCGGAGTCTAACAAATTACCAAAAAATTTAGAGGCTAAACTCTAAACACATGGCTCTTAGCTGCCTGTTACAGAAAGTCTATTCCTTTTTTTCTTTTCTCAAAGCGAAACTTGTCAACTTCATTACTTGAAATTTTATAAAAATGTTTTTTATGAAGAAGGAAAACCATGGTAATTTTCAAGATATCACATTCAATTGTTTTCCAAATAGTTAGAAAAGTAAGTATGACCAGAAACCTGCAACATTACAAAACCAAGGATGAACACCAAGTTCATTGGTCTGAAAACCATAGTTTAAATGTGATCTGCGGACTGATTGTTGAAATTGATAAACAGAGCTGTAGACAAAGACATAAGGAGTATAGAGCAATCCTATTGGTTGCAACTGGTGGTTTTTACAAACTAATGAGGAAAATGGACTGACTGTCGGGTCTCTTGTTGGTTGCCGTTAGTTGGTCCAATACTTACATCCTTTGTCCATTCCAACCACCCGCTTCCACCAATAGGATACCACCATATTTTTTTGTCTTCATTGTCTATAGCTTTGTTTATCAATTTCAATGATTAACCCGCAGGGTGTGCGAAAATTTTTGGGGTAAAGACTTACTGGAGCTAAAAGTTAGAGAGGATACAGGAGCGTTTTCTCTCAGAACTACTTCACGAAATTTTGTCTGCTGGTTTAACACCCATGTGGCCCGACATTTTAAAACTGACAACTGCAAGGGCACTAAAGTGAGCCATCTATATATCTTGAAGTAGTGCTTGAAGGAAGCATACCTTAGCCCTTATTAACTATTGTCACTAACCAATCTCCAACTTTTCATTTCCCATTACCAAGGCAATGGAGTTAGATTACCGGCTAAATAAGTTTATGCACTTTTAGACTGGGATAGAAGATCATTTGACGGTCATTTTTTGCATGGAAAGTAAATGCAAGAGGTAAGATGACTTATTTTCTGTCCATTCTAAAAGTGAATATACTCACTTGGCGCGGACGCTGTTCAGAATAAATGTTTAGAAAAACTTAAAGGTCTAATTTTAAATTACAGCAATTTCAAAATTTAACTTTGCTTCAAAAAAAAAAAAAAAAAAAATCTGAGCTAAGTCAAATATCTTTACATAACTGGAATGTTAACAAAGGGCCACCAAAACGGTTGATTGTAGGTTCGCCATTCCTAAATTGCACATTGGTACAGTGACTTGCCGCTTTTGTTGAACCTAAAGACAACCTATTCTGATTTCAAATGTTAAATAAAGGTCCAACGGGGCATTAAAAACATTAGAAAATTTTTATTCTGATTGGCTTTGCTTGAATCACTTGGCCTCAAATTCCCCTAGCAGATGCTGGTTAGCCGAATGTTTCTAATATGATTTTATACTTACGACCTGATGGCTTTGGTGGTTCAATTAAGAATAGATATGTATGATTTCAGTTGAAAGGGCGAATATTGGCATCTTATTCCTTTCAGAACAGGAAAAAAATGAGCAATTACCTGATCAGTTTGGCCAATTTTCCAGCTCATTGAGCCTCTTTCCTCTTAGTTTTAATCCAAAGTAAAGAAGAAGGAAAAAAGGAAGGCACCTAGGGTTGCAGATATTATGAGCCCTCCTCCCCCTCCCTCGGAGGAAGACACTTTCTTTGAGAGAGTCAATATATTGTTAGTCCTTCAAAATTCAAAATTCTCTTCATTAGAAATGTTTACATTGTTCTTTATGACCCTCATGGCAGTCCAAAATGGATGAACGGATCAAAGATTGGTACAGGCTGATTGCCAGACAACACTTCTTATACATAAATTAGGTAACTTCAGAGAGTCAACATTTCCACCTTATTCAGAATAAGTAAATGTTGCTGACTTACTTTTTCAATTTCTAGAGCCAACGTCACAAGATCACTTTGAGAATGTTTGCCAACTGCATACGGGTTTAAAAGTTGATGTCCCAGAGGCGCAGGATTTCGTTCCACCAGAATGGCTGAAAAAATTTCAGGAAGGGGAATGAGGCGAGAGAGTCCAAAGACATTACAAGAAAAGAAGTAGATAGTCTAAACAGGACTTTCTCAGAATTATAGCTCTCCTTTAAGTTAGAATGATATGCCATGCTCTAAAACAATCGGAAAACTCACGGTGGCAACTGAATACTGTCAAAACCCTTTTCCTACAATAATTTCAAAAGGAGCTTTTTTTCTGCTCTGACTGTGAAAATTCCTGACTGGGATATTGCAATGATAACGTAAGCTTCAGAACGGCGAGCTGAAAAACCTATGCACTCTGTGCTACGCTGAAGTAATTAACTGGCAAATTAAAACTGAACTTTGCGGAAAAAGGAAATTTTACTGCAGGGCCTGCCTGCCTTCCCATTTGAAAAACCAGTCTTCTGGGCTTATAAATTTCCACACAATACTTACCGATTCCAAATCCCCTTCTGAAAAGACTCAAAGGGGGTCCGTTTAGGTTCACCGATATTTACCCAATATACGTCCCCAGACCGCTGGCGAAAACCAGCAAGGTCAAAAACCCATTTCTTTGAACCACAGGGGGATGCATCCTAACTCCGCTTTGCTGCGAAACAACACACAATGCTTGTTTGTGCAGAAAATATATTTGACGGGTACATTAAAATTCAATACAACATAGTGCAGAAAATAGTGATAGGATAAAAGTAGAGCCGAACTTACATAATAAATTGACTAGGGTTCAAATAATTGTGTAGGTACCTTCTTCCGGTTTGTGGTTCGGATCGACAAGTCTCCGCTTCATTTCACTGAGGATCACTTGAATGAAATATACTGATTACTTCGGAATTTCCGCGAGACTCTTACTACCTAAAATTGGAAAATAATTGAACTAGATTCAGGTTTTGATCGCTGAATTAGGTCCAGATCTTAGATTATCATGATAACAAATCAAAACAACAGTAGCAGTCAAATCATGTGATTTAGGGCGCATGCGCAGTGGTCGTCATCTCATCACCTGCATTGACGTATAATACAATCTAGACCGCGCATTACGAAATTCAAGCGAGACGATAGGCAACCCAGCAACACACAGCAAGTGTACCGGCGAGACAATGGTGGAATTCGTGGAAATGCCAGTCTTGCCAGTGCCGTTGCCTGATACGGGTACACTTAGCTCGTATATCCGGCGGTATCAACTAGGCTGAAGGCGCGTCTTTACCCCCCTAGCTGTCTTACCTTCCCCGCCTAAAGTCGGGCCCAATGCGCGGTCTAGATTGTATTATACGTCAATGATCACCTGACATCACGCACAAAGGATTGTCAAAAAGGCGGGAATTACCAGCGAATCAGAAACGCCGACCGGGGGACCGGGTCCGAAAGTTTTCTCTCGTTTCGCAAATTCGCGTTTCGTTTCGCCTGCTCCTAGATTTTGTTCCACAGCCTCGTGCCATTAGCCATTTTCTCCGCTTTCGCAAATTGTAACTTTTCGCACTTCAATTGCAATTTCGTCGTGGGTCATATCTCGCAACTTGAGTCTTATCACGTAAGTAATTAAGTAATTCTCCCCATGCAGGCGAGCTCGATCGAGATTTCTCCTGCTATCTATTCAGGCAGCATCCACCCGTCGTTTTCCACTTTCCACTTTTCAGGGGGAGTTTTTTAGGATTTGGCTGGGTGGCAGCCTTCACCTAGAATCGTTCTGTAATCTCTTAATATTTGCAATACTTTACATTATTCACTATTCGGTCGTAAGATTGAATCTTTCCAGCTTTTTGCATTGGCCGTATGTCTGTTCAACCTGGTATCTGCTGAGGTTGAAAGCCCAAAGCACTTTTTAATCGTCAGTATTGTCAGCAATTTGTCAAATTGGTGTAGCTCATTGATGATGACGAAACTACCCTCTCGCACTTAGACCTGATTATTAGGAATACTCAACTATTGACATTTCAGCTTGGGCCAGAGGAAGCTCGGCAGTGAAGAATTCTGCCTCCGACTGTCGTAGTCCAGTTTCTGAAGTTTCACATCATATGACTTGTTATGCCCATCATTCCCTAATGTGCTAACTTAGACCCGTTTGATGACTGATCTAAAACTGTGCTCCAACTATTGGAACTTGGTCGACAAGACAAGATTAGGCCTTTCTTAACCATGCAATACATCGCAGTTCGATGTCTTACCATGCTACGATATACTTTCAATAATAGGCCTGCAGCACAGTTGGAATTGCAACCTAAACCACCAAAGCATAAGGATGAGTTATCAAAAGGCATTACGAGGGAAGGCCAACAATTATTCAAACCATATGCCACTCCTGTCCACTATGCAGGCTTTCCAGTAAAATATTGGAATTTTCCTGATATGCCCGTTAAGGATTTTGATCTACATATATAGTGTACATCTGTTTCAACAAGCTTCAAATTTTGGTCAGAAACTCCAGGAAACCACACTAATGACATATCAGCATGAATAACAAGTCTGTCAAAGCTCTTCTCGGATAGCTTTCCTTTTTTGCCCTACAGCATAGCACCCGAGGACGAAGTTATCTGAAACAGGCTCTAGGTTCCTGTGCGCCAATGCTTTGCAGCAAGTAGCTACCGCACCTTTATTCAAAATGGACTTTAAGTGAGGCAACCAATCGGACCTAATTTTACCGGAAAGAACAAAGTCACATTATAATTGAATGAATCGAAGGAAGTTTGAGGCCTTGCTCCTTCAAATATTTATGCCTGAAGACCGAAGCTTGTTTTCCTTTCAAATTCATTGTTTTCCCTAACATCAGATTTTTCACAGGAAAGGAATGTTGGCTTGCTTAGCTCATTTTCTCGTACATGTTACCTGGTTCCTCCCAGTTTAATTCTGACCTGCAGCCGGATTGTTGAAATTTATGTCAGCATGACAAGAGTCGAAAATTGATATATTATGTAGTGTAGATAGGGTTATGTCTTGTCTTATCCTGTCGAAATAGCCAGTTAAAGTTTCAACAATCGGGCTGCATTTGAGGCTAAATTTGAATTTCTACTAGGTTCAGGTAAAGGACCTCTTCTAACGTACTGATGTAACTCCTCAATGAGCAACTCTCCTATTAGTATCGACTGCAGCTCCCGTTAATCAAATGTAAAAAATTTACTTCTCTTCAATGTGATTTCTTTGCAGTTAAACTTCTGCCGTACTTTTGGTCATTTAAAGTTAGGCAACTTTTCACCCACACTTTCAACCCACTCACTCTTCTTACTGTGATAGCAAGGTATCATGCGTCAGCTTAATTTTACCTTGTAAGGGTTGTTTTCTAGAATTTTAGTTGTAATCGAGCCCCTTTTTTTCTTTTTTTCAGTTGATTTCAAGATTTTTTACCAAGATGCATGAAGAAATGGGACAGACATCTTCCAGGAGATTTCGAAGTATCAGTTTTGTCCAGTCTAATAAAGCATCCTGTCAAAAATGTATGGATGTAGCCCAGTACATAGTCAGTATAGAATTTAAGCTGGCAGATGAAGCCCGCAGTGAACAACCTGACTAAGAAATCATGGACCATGAGAACGGACTTAATATTGAAATTAATGTCTCTATCTTTCAAATGCTTCAACTAGTGTACTTGAAGTAAGTTTACTCTACCATACACTTGCCAATATCAGTTCCTCAAATCCAAGGTACACTCTACTACAGGTATGGACAAACGGGGTGCCGAAGTGGCAGCGCTGAGAAAATCGGCGATCGAGTGACGTATGAAGTCGTACCGTCCATTTGCCGCGCAGGTCTTCTTAGTCGTACTCTCGATGCTGTCAAATCTACGCGTTTTGACGACTTTCTAAAATTCCATTTGTCCATACCTGTAGTAGAGTGTACCTTGCCTCAAATCAAGTGACTTTCTGAAGAAAGTGGCACCTATTCTAAACCTATAGTTCCCGTAGTGGTTGTAATTTTGCATAAAACAAAGGTGTGAAGAGAATTTTACAACATTCTTTTGTATGGTTTTCATATTGCCATGCATCATTGTCAGATCCAAGATCCCTTTTGTTCCTTGCTAGTATACTACCTAGGCAAATGCAACATGTTTTTGGATTCCTGCTTTTCATACTCAGCAGCAAGGCCTCAATTTTATTCTAAGCCAGTAGTGCACATGCTGATAAATTTATTTTTTGGTCTGATCTGCAGTAGATTGACTTGACAACTTAAAGTTATATTTTTATACCTGCAGCCTGATTGTTGAGATTTTGGGTTTGTCAGGCATAGATGATATAGGTTAAAAGGCGGAGCGTTATTGGTCGGCTATGTCTTATTGCAGCTTTATCGTGCTTTTGTCAGGTGGAATGGACGACATGCTGTCAGAAACTTAAGAGGTGCCTTTAGCTTGTCGTGAGTTCAACCAGACATAGGCATGACAAAGCAGCGATAAGACATAGCGGACCAATCTCGCACCGGCCTTTCAACCTACGTCATCTATGTCGACCCGACGAACACAAATTTTCAACTATTAGGCTGCGGTGCCGCTAGAGGTCTGGAAAACTGGGAAAGTCAGGGAATATGTGGGAAAAGTTCAGGAATTTCTGACGCATCTACTAATTAGTAAAACATATGATAGATCTGCAAACTGATTATCCTTTTGGTCAGTTTTTAGGCTTGTCGTCTTATAACCTGCTTCTGAACACCTTCATCCATCATTTGATCTGTAAACAGGGAGAGTTTTTCCTCAGTTTAGCGAAAGTTAGTGTATTGTAAGAGATAAAAAGGTGAAGAATTTGTCCAAAGGTCAGGGAATTAGAAAATTTTGGAGTCAGGGAAAAGAGAAAATAATCAGGGAATAATTAGGGAATTTCAAGATGAAGAAATTACAGCAACCCTGTTACAGCCCAACGCTCTGAAATTCAGAGGTGGAAGTAGTTTTATGCTGCCCTAGTTTTCAAAGGGGTATCCTAGGTCTTTGTGAGATGGCTAATCTAGTCTGCCGTGCTAAGGAAAAACGATGTATGAACATTCTAGAGTTGCCAAATTTCCTACAATGAAATGTTCATTTTTGTTGAGGAAAGATATGAATATTTTTCCTCGAAATTTTCAGGAACTTAAGATGAAATAGCGAACAAAATTATTTGAAAAATTGGAAGGAAAATATTCATAAATTTACCAGGAAGTTAGTGGTTATCAAAGGAAATTTAGCAATGCCTGAAGGTTTATACGGCGTTTTCCCTCAGCACAGCAGTAGTGCGCCCACTGCCCATTAATCAAGTCCTGCATCTATTTGTCCTCCCCAAAAACGATTCTCTTCGTTGGCCTGAAATTTTACCAGAATATGCTTCAAATGAAAAAGGATAACCATGGAAGCTTTCAATAAATTATGTTCATTAGTTTCCTTCTTTAAAAAAGAGGTAATAATGGAAAGTTTGCGAAGTCAAGAACTCAGGTACACAGTTTTTAAATTCGTCCATCGATAGGTATAAATTACTTCCTCTTAGTGCTTCATCTTTCAACTTTAACAATTGATGCTTTTTTTTTCTTGGCCTAAGCATTTACCTATATTATTTTATCTGTTTCTTTTTAAACCTTTGAAGTGTATTAAAATTTAGCCTGTTTTGCATTAGACCTAATGAGCTCTCTCAATTTTCAGGTTGTCTCAGAATAGAGAAGCCCATGAACTGAATCAGTAATGCTGGAAGAAGCCATCATCTGGAAGTAGGAGCGTATCAGTAACAAATTCTTTTAACAAAATAAACAAATGGATGACAGATGAATTGTGTAAGTAATTTTACACCAATTGGTATTGAAGAAATAGGGCAGGGGAGAAACGAAAAGAATACCCACTATCTATCATGTTGTGAGGTTTTGAATAAATTATGAAATTATATATACTATTTTTAAGGAATGAACTGCCTCGTGAAAACAGTTTGCCAATCAATATTCTAATGCCGTATGTGAAGTCTTCACATGCTTTGGATATTTTTGGAAAAATGAGAACTGTCTACTCATCAAGTTCTCACAATTACATGTTCTTCTTGAACCTAAGAGTTACAGTTAGAACACTTAGCCGCCTCAAAGACAAAACTTTTTTTTCTGGGGGGGGGGGGGGGGGGTATGATCCCCAATTTTCAGTAGACCATGATTCGCTGTTCACCATTGGACAACTTGCAGTTCGGCCAAATCCTTCTCCGTCCCTGTCGAAGGTATTGAATTTATTTTAGCAGGGTGGTTTTTCGAATGTTGTGTTCTCAGGCAGCCCTGGTTACTAGAGTTCCATCTCTCGCAGCTCTTGGCACTTTTTTCATAGCTGATCGTGGATAATCAGTTTTGGCCCATGGCTCTAACTGACATATTTGCAACCTCCTGCTTGTTAAGGTTGCTTGTGTCATGCCATCTGAAAATTCGATAGGCTGTCAATAATTGTAATAATTGTCTGCTAATTAATGTTGCTGTGCTCTTCTACTAAAATTGTTTGCGAAAAGAGACTGAGAAGAAATCTAAATGTGGACATGTTGAAATGGAAATAAAACCGATGTGGAAAATGAAACCGCAAATTCTTTCTACTGTAACTAAAGTATCTGAGACTGTTGCTAAAAGAGTAGCAACATGTATCCATGAAATCCTAGAAAAGCACACCATCACTAACCGTAGGTAAACAGTCATCTTTAAACATCACATTGTCATTAGTTTGCCCTGTAGGTACAGACTCTCTACCAGGAGATCATACCTCCTAACCTGTAACCTAAGATTAAGTTTTGCAATCATTCTAAATTTTGATCATACCTCCTAACCTGTAACCTAAGATTAAGTTTTGCAATCATTCTAAATTTTAACCAACACTAAGGCTACATATCTTGGATAGACAACCTCCTGTCTGTCACATCAGTGATAGCTACCCCTCATAAGTGAGCTTCAGAGGCAGAAAGTAGGTAAATTATTATGTAAATTATCAAATGTCTTCAATCTATTTGATAAAGTGACAAATTTACCTTAGGAAGTTAATTACACACTCCTATTTCAGGTAAGTGATGCCTTTTTTAAACCTTTTAGAATTTTCTCATTGCACAATTTGCCCGACAGAAGCTGAATTTTTGAACTATTTCGTAACATGCCCAAAGTGTGTTTGGCAAATTGCGAAATTTGGAATTGGCCTAGGAAAATCGCAATACGCCCGCAGGGTGTCTACAAGTCCAGAATTTTTGGAAAGTGTCTACCAGTCCAGAATTTCTGGCAAGTGTCTACAAGTCCAGAATTTCCGGAAATAATACTGATTTTTTAAGGGTGGTCCGGAAGTACCATATACGTGCAGAAATTCAGCAAGAAGGTCCGAAATTTTTTTCATTTTTTTTGTTGCATTTTAAGCGAGAAATTCAAATCTTTGAAATTTTTCGAATTTCATCAATTGGAGGTACTGAAAAAGTACTGAATTTTTCTGTTGAGAAGGTACTGAATTTCTTGGGAATGTACTGAAAAAGTACTGCAAAAGTAATGATTTTTGACCAGCCTGCTTTAGTAGACACCCTGGCCCTGGTTTCGGGGTTAGACTGTAACATGAATATTTTAACTAATTGCCCTCCGAGTATTGGTCCAACCAGCCTTTGAATTTGTAGCAACTGAAATTCCTTGTGTCTTAAAAATCTTGATAACTATTTTTGGAGAGACTAAGTCTATTCAAATCAAGTTAAGATTATAATAATTTTTAGTCATTTTGGTCCTAATTAAGCCTCATTGAACTTCGACCAGTATTAAATATTTGTAAGCATGGACTGGACCAGCCCATATTTAAAACCACTAAGTCTGATGGATGAGACGACAATTCCTATCTGAGAGATCTAGTGATCTGCTCCTAAGAGACGAATCAAGAAAGTAAAATACCAATTTTTATTATTACTCTGCCTTTTACCTCTCGTTCGTTGCTCCAGCAATTGCTTGAATAAATTGCAGAGACAAACTCTTTCAAAATGAATTTTATTTCTAATGTAGAAAACAAATTGGTCATTGATAGCAGGTGAAAAAATGTAATTCAAGCACTCACTGAATCAACCATCTAACTCACATTTTTCTCCTATTGAGAAAAGCTGGTTTATGTTTAAAATTCATTTTGAATACCATTAGGAACCTACACAAGTTAAAGTTCCTTAAAAACACAAGGACAATTTTTGGTAAAAACACACTCACTTGCGTAAAAAATTGTTTTTAAGATAATGGGACGCGTTTCGGGACCTTAGCTCCCATCATCAGCAGCAACTCCAATTCATGTTGTCTCTTTTTCCACCAGAAAACTAAGAAAACATGCTAAAAAGTTGGAAGTGCAGTAACTAATTCTCAATAAGCTGAAGAAATTAGGAATTGAATTTCAGTTCCTAAATTAGGAATTTAATTTCAGTTCCTTTCTGCTTATTACTGTCCAATTCTCTACATACTTCCAACCTGCCAAGTTGCGTTAATAATTGCAAGTTTACCGCACAAAAGAAATATTGGGTTGACTGGTTTGACTCAAGATGGAAGTGGTGAAGAGAGAAACAGTATCTTGATTGTTAAAAATTACAGAGCGATTTCAGATTTAAAGAATCTGAAAGTTCGAACGTTTACGTAATTATTTTAGTAGATTCTAGGTGGCGGTAGCCACCCCGGCCCAATCCTAATATAATGTACGTTAGATTAAGGAAATTTGTTAGTGATAGTTTTAAAATGGAAAAATTGAAAAAAAATAAATAAAATACAAAAATGTCAAAAAAAAGATAAGGTAGGTGTTTATTTTTGGGTGGCTTGCCACTGTGATTTTCTCTAGTTTGTAGAAAGTTCGGTCTCGTAATTGAGGAGTGAGATTTCAGATGTAAATGTGTCTGAAAAAAGATCTAAACTGGAGCTGTTCCATTATGATGTATAAAGAGTCTAAGAGAGGGACTGAACTCCGATGATTCCGGAAGGGACTGAACTCCAACGGTTCCAGTATATTATATCTACTTACGTAGGTGTCCATGACATGAATACAGTACTCGCGGTAACGCCTCCTCTTATATTTTTGTCAGGATACCTTCAATCAGGTGTCTCGTTCATCCCGGATTTTAAGGCTGCGAGATTATTGAAACTATGTCAGCGTGACATGACACGACATAGCCCTATCTTGACCATGCCACATATCGCATTTCTATGTCTTATCGGGCTACTTTAAACTTTCAATAATTGGCTCGCTGTTGGTCGTAAAAGTTGGAGACTCAGACAACGATACATAAAAAAGTAGAAATTGAAAGGGAAAGAATTACTTTCCGCTCAGGCCCTGAAAGTCTGTTCGAATCTAGTCTTCGAATATCATCTAGAAGGGAGGAAATACAGAATGGATGAATGAAGAAAGAATCTAGACAGGCTCAGTGACACGCTGAGAGCCTGGGGCAGCGTCACATTTTTAAAAAAGGAAGGACCCCTGAAAAAGGTATTTTGTATTGTGTCCGAAGCAGGGGTGCCAAAAGTGCCATTCGTTAGAACCATTCATAAGCGATCCGGGACCCCTCACTCATATTCGAAAAATGTCCCCACTTTCCCAAAATTTTTCAAAGTGATGCTCTGTTTCAATTTTTATTTATTTTTTATTTTTATTTTTTTTTTGCTCTTCACTTTTGAAAATTTTATCACAATTCACGCGATCCACCGATGTATTTCCTCACGTTTCACGCAATCCACACGTACGCCTCTTCACGCTACACGCGATCCACGGACGTAGGTTGATTGCACTCCCTTGGAACGAGGAAATTTTTCATCAACAGACTTAGAGTTCGAAAAGTCGTGAAGATCTGCGAATCGTCCGAATATCATTATTTTCGGCTCCTTTTCTCGTCTCAGAAAAGAATTTCCGCATTTTCCTTGTAGTGAGGTAACTCCTCCTCGCGAGGCTCAAGCTTGTGCTCGGAAGTTTTCTTCTGCTTAACAAACGGAAAAAAAAACTTCGCGTAGTAGCTTTCAGGAATGCTCGACACGTCTATCGAGAGCCGAAAAGCTCGATAAATCGTCGGAATTTGGTTTGGTACGAAAGCACGGAAATCAGCAGTTATTACGACAATCTTGAAAGGCTCATTTTTCTCCCAGGTATTCTTTCCTAAGAAAGTTTTGAATGGTTATTTTAAATTCATGTGAGTGGTCAACTTTTTTAATATTTTCTGACAACGCATAATAAAGTTTTGCAAGATTGCGTTTGACGACTTTTTTATCTACCTTATCTTCTATTTTCATGTTTCTCGTTTTCTTCGCGAATCGTATAATATGGCAGATTTTGGCTCCCTGGTTTGAAGTGGGTCACCGGTTCCTTCCAAGCGGTGGAAACGTGCTCAATCGCCCGATCCGTGGATTGTGCGTGAACAGGGTATACACGGTCGGCAGGCGTAATGTAGGCAATTTGCACATCGGAAGTATCGGAACGATGCGTAACGGTGTAGCGCTTGAAGTATGTTCGTGATTTCGAAGGCGCTATGTATTGTGCAAGCAGGTGCGCCTTCCATTGCCCGCGATAATTCGAATTCGCAACGTCGGCGACATGAAATTCATAGAGGTGCATCCACTGCATCCTTTTTCCTGAGAACTCTGTAAGTTCTTTAACTTAAATTTAAAAAAAAAATTGAATATAATCTACCGTTCGCATACTGATTTTTATGTAGAGCACTACAGCTGCGTCAATATTTTCATGATATTGCTTAGACTGTAATCACGGAGAAAACAATTCAGCGCTGAGCCTCGACACTTAAGGTATAATAGCGCCAACTACAGGCAGTATGGCTGGACCCTAAATCTGTATAGACCTCAGCACTACTGCCTCCAGTTGTTCTGTTTTACAGGAAGTATTAAGGTTCCGCGCCAATTTGTTTTTTCCGTGATTAATTTTTTGTTACATCAACGTGCTGAATTTTTAACCTAAACTTTCATCGATGACAGGATGACGGAAGGGCGCTGTCAAAGAAGGTGTTTGATTGAGTTCTCCTAGGAGGAGACGAAGGGGACGCCCAGTGAAAGGGTGGCGACAGGGGGTTTTAAACGAAATGAGGGAGTGCCAACTCTCTGACTGGTTGTGGGAGGGCCAATTTTTGTGGCGGTTAGGTGTCGCAATTCGAAGAGCGCCATTGAAGCGTCTCTTGTGTATGTAAAATTTCATCGACCGACGAAATTTTTCGAATGAAATTACTCCGGTGCTTACTTCAGGTGGAAAAGCCCCAACTACAGGCAGTGGGGCTGGACCCTACACTGATCAAAGTATTTGTGTCCTTGTGTTATTTTTAGTCAACATGAGAAATGGAACAAAAACCAACGCAAATTTTGTGTTGATTTTGGTACAATTTGCGGTGAATTCGGCGCAGAAAACGACGGAGATACGGAGGTAATGCACTCTTCCAATTGCGACGTTGGTATCAACTACTCGTTTTTTATTGAAGTTCTTCAAGAAAACTACCTGGCATTTTCTCTTGAAATTGTCAAGCGAATGCTAGGGTTGGTTATAATGTGTTTTACCTCCTGTATTAACAAATATTTTGGGAGTTGCCCGATTCCCTCCCGGAGTTGGGGGTTCCGATTACCGCCCAGGATCGGCATGGCCCGATTCCCTCCCGACGACATAAAGGAAGTGAAAAAATCAAAATAGGGAAATGACAACGTTGCTTACCTCTATGAGTGTGTTTCCGAAAAGCGATGTACAAAAAAATCCTTGGAGTGTAAAGGGCTCCTCGTCAACAAATAAAAATTAGTGAAATTTCAGATGAATGTGCGGTGAGTTTTTATAAGAAACGCAAAATAGGAAATCACGCAGGGCTTTTTTGAATTTTTCCTTCGATGCGGGATTAACCGAATTTAATATGTCTATTTGTGTTTGCAGGAATATTTGTTTTTTTTTTTTTTTACCTGAGACCTGACCGTGTTCCTGGTTTTTTCAGCGGAATTTATGAGGATTCGCGAGTCTATCATAACTCTGGTTAATATTTCACAGAATATAACAATGTTGGGGTGGGTTTCGTAAAAAAAAGAATTAAATTTTGAATGGAAACTTTCACAAGCGTTCGTAGTTTTGCTGGGAGCTGCTGTTTTTCGGTCCAAAGTGAGGGAGGAAATAATGAGTCCTCTGCAATATAGTATTCAATCAAGTAGTCACAAAATTTCGTCAATTCAGGGCAATCAAGCTTATTAGCCATGAAGATGTCAACAAAGCTATTAGCGACTTCTTCATTGTCCGACGTGAGATCAATTACTGGCTCTAGAAGACAGTGCTCGCTGCTTGGTCAAGACAGCAGCAAATTTCAGCATTAGAGAAGCGCTTGCTCTCGGCTGAACAGAACGACTCAAGAAAGGGATGAAGACTGGACGGGAATATGATAATAAAGTGGTTTCTCTCCTCTACCTGTTGAGGTTGAGATGTCTTCTTCCAGAGCAGGTAGCCGTAGCCTACGATTCTAGTTCCTTTCCTCCCTCTGTCGAGGTTGAGATTACTCCCTCCAGAGCAAGAAGCCTACAATTCTATAAAGCTAAGTGTCTACGCGAATCCATTCTGTGGTGATGGAGACAATTTCAACCTTGTTCCTGAGGCCAACGCGGCCTTTTTGGGACTCGTACAGATCCGAAATACCCAGAACGCCTGAAGACTGGGACCGGGAGCACGTCAAAATACGGCCAGGGCAAGGAGCTCACTCTCTAATGCTGAAAAATGTAGGTGAAAGTGTAGCAGGGGTGCAGAAAGTTCCCAAAAGCCGAACCCTTGCAGTAATTCCTACGTACAGTTCTTGCCTCATCGCGGCATGTTCGATTTTCCTCACCATTTTCGAACTGAGGATGAAATTAAAGGACATTACTTTTTGAATTAGCCTCACGGCCGCGTGCGTTTGACGCACGTTTGCTGTGATAGAACCAAAAATTATTCTCAGTTTTTCTGCGATCGCAGGAAACGTGAAAAGCTAATAGTTTTAGCCAGCGCGAAGTGTTTCTCCAACTGGCAGCGAGACTCAGAAATGTTTTCCGTCCGTCGAAAGAAACCAATACTTGATATTTTCTGATATTTTGAGGAAAATATCAGCGAGGTTTACGAGTGCACTGTGAAATGAGTGAGTATACAACGTGCGCCTCAGGTTGGAGAAATCTGGGCCCCTCACATTCCACAAGCTGCATATATCGCCACGTGGGAACCGCAGATATCGTGAATATT